AACATGCAATAGGGGGTGCTAATGAAAAACTGACAAAATTCGTCAAAGGAGTAAACAATCATTGTGTTGTGTGTGATCTGTGAGTAGATCATGTGCTGTTTAGATGCATATCTCACACAGGTCCGTTTCGGTTGTGTCCCATACGTAACCCGCTTACAGACAGTTAGATTCAATGGGTCAGTGCTCTATTGTTCCGCAATGATTTGAATAAGCGACTGCTTTGAGATTTTAGCCCGATTGATACATTTTTCTATTCAGATAATCTAAGTACATTAGACTAGATAAACAAGAAATCCGTGACATACCATTACTGGTTTGTTCCGTATCGAATCCATCCCCATGCAGTAGTATGTTGTATCATCATCATCAGCCAACATTGTACAGTGTAATATATCACGATAAGACTGCACCTTGATGTGGTGTGATACCTGGTGCACTTCTCTGACCCAACGAGCTACATAGGATGGCTTTTTTCAAGCCGAAGATCTAATCAGGTTGAGGTAGAGGTCAGACGAAGTCCAGTCTCCTGGTCTTCCAGGTTGGGGGTTCGACTAGAATTTGAGTTTCAGTCGGTAAAAAATAGTGGAGGAGTAATCGATCCAAGGAAATGGGCCTGCACTTCGTTTCACCCGTTGCCTTGTGGTTAGATTCATTCAGAACTAAAGGCTTGTTTGAGAACCCTAATCGTTCTCCCGTTTATTGGCTGGACACTCTAGCAGTACCTGTCCATCAAACCCCAGTGTATATGCATTTTGATTTGGTCAGCGATCAGTGAAGTTCGCTTCTATGTATTTCCCTGTCTGATGATGATGATGATGTAATACAGCATAACGAACTTCGCTGATCGCTGCCAAACTCATAATACATACAAGGTAAGTGAGAATGTGTAAGCAGGATAGGGATTGGAAATACTTTTAGAGACGGGAAAAGATAGCGAACCTCTATCATCAATACAGAGAGTCCACAGTCCAATTGTGCATACTTACTATTTCAAGTATTCTGGTTTGATAAGAAGTGACAACATGATCACCACTTTGTCTCCAACCATGCAGTTACGGTGTGCTTTAGATCCCAACCAGGAAGACGAGAGACACCTACTCTACCTAATCGTTTTGTGAATTTCTTCATGCCTCGTCTCCATGTCATCTCCTGGTCTCCACATGGCTTTCTCTAGTCTGCAACAGTTACTGCAAACAAGGTGTGCTGCGGTAGGCGACCGTCGGACATTCGTAAAATGTGACCTAACCAACAGAGCCTATGAGCTGAATTCTGTGCGGTAGCGAGTTCCGGTAGTATGAGTGTGACTCAGACGTGTAAAAAAGCGTCAGCTATGGGTTGCACGATTTGATTTGATTCAATTTAACAATGTCGTCATACAAAATGAGATGTGATAGGTTCGCGCACTACTGATGAGACCCAACCAGATTCGGTTGCTGTCTCTGGTTTCCTGGCTTTTCAAATCACATCTTATTTGCTCGACGAATGTGTCACATTAAACACAC